CCCGCGCAAGCCCGCGGGGTCGGCCCGACGGCGGGCCCCTGCGCAGCGCCCCGGCATCAGAAGCCGTCCCGGTGACTTTGGTCATTCACTTACCTCGAGAGCGGACGCGTCCTGGTTTTCAAGCACGAAGAACGGGCCCGGCCCCTGAGCGCACGGACGCCTTTCAACTTTTCAGCCTCTTTGTATACCTTGGGCTGGATTCCAGCCTCGCTTACACCGCGGTAACGACACCGACCTCACCAAATTATTTTCTGATTTACAGCGGCTGATGGAAGTGAGATCAGAATCGGGTATTTTGTACATGAAAGGTATTATCTAAAACCGAATGGCTATTCACGTCACCAGCCCATCTCTCTAATTAAAAGCTGAAAGAATCCGAGCTCGGCTCTAAGAGAACTATCAATTCTCCCAGACACAATGTACCGAGAGACATGTTTGCAGACCACATTCGGCACTGCTGAGGGCTTTGTTTCACCCGTACCTCCTTCCACCAACATAAAAAGCTGCAATTGAAAAGTCCTGGTCCGTGGAGGGAGTGCTGTTTTTTATCAGACGGTAATGATGAGTACATCATGAAATCATTTAATAGTTCTCATTAAATGCATTGCTGGAGAGCAGGCTTGATTTATGAGCGGTATGCCATGGGTATAAATAAGCCGCACTTTGCTTGTAACACAGCTGGTCAAGAAAATTAATGTTTTGTTTTCCATAACCTTTGTACTCTCCTGTCCTCTGCTACTATGGCAAAGCTCAAGGCGTGTAACTTGATCATTCTCTGCAAGACAACATACGCCGGAAAGCCTCTCTCAAGCTTAACCCGACAACCGAACGGCAGGCTCCCAAAACGTATCGCTGTGCATTCCAGCTTTCCTAAAGCTGCTCCTCTTACACGTGCATATACTTCTCTACCTAAAAACAAAACCCCAGACTACTTAGAAGCAGATTTGCCTCTTTTGCATTTGTTCTGGAAGTGCTGCTAGAACAGTGTATCCTGGCAAGTTCAAGCCCAAGAAATACTGATATATTTAGCGCTGCTGCACTAAATAACTCTCTAGCTTTAAAAGTACAGTGTTCCTTTTTCTTTTTTTGCCCATGGAACAAGACAAAAGCCATTCAAACCAGATTAACACCCATCTTCTGATTAGAAGAGAACAAATAAGATGCAGTTATGATACAGCACAGCGGCCAGAGATTTTTTAATGCTTATATGAACTACGGCACCTAATCCTAAGCAAATAGTTGATCAGTTGTGTAATGTTTTTTCAAAAGAGCTTCTACTCACAGCACAAGGTGTACCATGTACATGGGATTTAGTACAGAGAAAATTTAACTTTCAGGAGCAGAGAGATGTTGATGAGGCTTAGGAGAGAGTCAATTTAAATAAGGACAGAGGGAAGGACTTTGCAATCATGTGGTTCATAGCTGCAGTTTACAGGCACGGTAATTTTATAACCCTCTCCTTGCAGTTTTGAATCAATGCAGTACTCTCCTTCACTTTCCAGCCTAAATGATGCTGAGTTGTTGCTCTGCACTTCTGCAGCAGCTGCCTCATTTTCTGCAGCACCGATAGCTCTGTGTAGCAGTGGGTGAGGTGACATGTCCATGCAAACCTTGGTACAATGAACTGGGATTTTGAGGGGACTGAAAGTTGCTCTACAAACTGCTGGGGAGCTGCCAAGTAAGATCGTCTGTTATTCAACAACAGTCCCCATGCAATCATCTCTGCCTCCCTCTCCTTTTCGCTTTGTGCCCTACCTGGTGGCCTGGCGCTGCGGGGAAGTATCGTGCAGCCCTGCATTTCCACAGTGCCAGAAAGCATTCTTGTATCGGA